AAAAAAAAAAAAGAATAAGGATGTACAAATACTGAAATTAAACATTACATTTAGCACAGAGCTTTGTAGCAATCATGGGGAAATGGAAAGAGATGGATGATAAAAAAAGGCTAACATTTTCATGGAAGAGTTCACTGTTTATGGCTCTAAATTCTAGGAGATAAATTTTAGTCTTTTGGTTTTCGTAATTTTTTTCTTATTTATATTCTAAAATATAGTTCATAGAATTTGAGTTTTATGCAAATCAAATTATTTATTCATTTGGCTCATCTGTGTTTCTGCATTTGTGCCTTTATTTCAGAGAACTGTGCACTAAACTTTACAGCATGAGCTGGGGCAATACACAGAGTTGGCAAGAGTTTGATCGTTTTTGTGAATATAATCCAGTGGAAGTGTCCATGTTGACCTGTTTAGCAGATGTTCGGGAACCTTGCCAGTTGGGCTGTAGAAATCTTACTTACTGTACTAATTTTAACAACAGGTAAGAGAAAACTATTGTACATGGAATGGAAGTATTTTATCATTTTCTTGTTTTTAAATAAGTGAAAAGACCACTTTACTCTGATTTTTACTCTGATGCTAAGTTAAAAGGAAGTAGTATTTTTTTTATTATTTCATCTTTAAATACTATAACTCATCCAGTAAATCACCTCTGGGAAAGGAAGCACTATAACAAAGTCCCTTCTAGACTAGAGATACTTAAAGCATCTAGAATTCAAAGAATCTTTTCTGCCTTCAGCCTACCATTCTTCCCCTCTTCCTTCTATTACACAACCAGTGGAAACAGTTCATTGCAGAATAAATCACTGTGAACAATTTGGCCGTCCAAATGCTCTCTTTTGAACAGTTTACTTCGAAGTTTACTTCAACCAGTCTGAAGGTCCCACTCAGCAAGTTCGCTATTTCATACAAAAATACTGTCTTACTTTACTTATTTGTATTTTCTTGAGGTATCAAGTATGGTCAGAAAAACAAGGGTCCAAAACTGAATGGCTGAACAAACAGTGAAGAAAACAAAAGGGCTTCCAGAAGCTTAGAGAACACCTATCAGAGAAGGCAGAGAGAGAGTTTCTAAGCAAGAGGGGGCCAGTTTTGTGAGCTGGCCTGGAGCCTGGAGATCAAGGGGGCAAAGAGGGAAAGAATCATTCAGTTGGGTCAGACAGAAGTTCAAACGAACATAATCCTATTCTTTTAAAAGTATTCAGAATATTTTTAAAAAAGGTATTCAGAATATTATTTCGAGTAAAAAAATTGAGATATCTTTACAGCTGGTAATAGAGTGTTAGCCGATAAGGACATGGTTTAGAGATTGAGTAAATTTGAAATCTATGAAATGTTTGAAGTTAAACTTGGACTCATAGTCTGGCTTCTGGGGATAGTGGAGTAGTTTGTAGCAAACTAATACTTCTGCAAGTACCAATTATGAACTCTGTACAAAATATTAAAAAAAAGTATTGTTTTAAGGTGTTAGTGAGTGGCCAAAAGCAGGAGGGGCTGTATCTCATGAAACATAGAAACCACACTGCACGAGGGCCGCATTTATCCAGTTTTTCCTTCATGGGCACCCTCAGCCCCTTTGCATGGCATAAAGAATTCAAGCAAAAAGCAGCAGTCTTGGGCTGAGGAGTTAGAGATCAGAGTTTAGGGCTGCCAGAGTGGCTAGATGCAGGAGTAGAAAACCCGGGAAAGGTGGGAACCACAGAAGGAGATGCCTCCAAATCTGCAAACAAACTCCCGGTAAATCCTTAAATTTAACAAAGTGACAGGACACAAGGTTAACATTAAAAAGCCGATTGTATTTCTGTATGTTGCAACAAACAATGGGAAAATGAAATTTATTTTAAAAATACAAATTTACACAATTGCATCAAAAAACATGAGATACTTAGGGTAAATTTAACAAAAGAGGTGCAAGAACTATGCATTGAGAACCAGAAAACTTTGCAGAGAGAAATTAAAGACAGTGAATAAACAGAGAGAGGTACTGTGTTCATGGATTAGAAGACTCAATATTGTTAAAATGTTAATTCTCCTGAGACTGATCTCTAGATTCAGCGCAATCGCAATCAAAATCCCAATAGGCTTTTTAAAATAGAAATTGCCAGACTAACTCTGAAATTCAAATGAAAATACAAAGGACCTAGGATAGCTAAAAGAATTTTTTTTTAAAATAACAAATTTGGAGAACTTACAGTACCTGATTTCAAGACTTGTTATAAAGCAACACAAATTAGGGGCACCTGGGGTGGCTCAGTCAGTTAAGTGTCATTGTCCCAGGGTGCTGTGATTGAGCCCCAGGTTGGGCTGCGTGCTCAACACGGAGTCTGCTTGATATTCTCTCTCCCTCTCTGCCTCCTGCCTGTTCTCTCTCTCAATAAATAAATAAATAAAATAAAATTAATTGAAGATGGGTCAGAGAACAAAACATAAAAGCTGAAAATATAAAGCTTCTAGAAGAAAACTTAGGAGAGTATCTTGACAAACCTGGTGTAGACAAAGATTTTGTAGACAGGAGACAAAATGCACTAATTATAAAAGAAAAAAAATAATGAGTTAGGGTTCAACAGTAAACACTCAGCAAAAGACACCATATAAGATTTGAAAAGGCAGGCCACAGTTTGAGAGAAAATATTCAGTATATTACATGTGCACACTTACAGTCACACACACATTTGACAAAGGACTTGTAACCAAAATATATAAATAACTCCAATAACCTCATAATAAAAAGTCAAACAACCCTTGGGGCACTTGGGTGGCTTAGTCGGTTAAGCGTCTGCCTTCAGCTCAGGTCATGATCCCAAGGTCCTGGGGTCGAGTCCTGAGTCAGGCTCCTTGCTGAGCAGGGAACCTGCTTCTCCCTCTCCCTCTACCTGCTTGTACTCTCTCTTTCTCTGTCAAATAAAACCTTAAAAAAAAAAAAAAAAGTCAAACAACCCAATTTAAAAAAAAATAGGCAAAAACTTTCAAGGGTCTTTCACCAAAGAAGACATCAAAATAGCCACCATGCATTCAAAGCTGATATCCTTTGATGCATTATATGTACTTTCTTTAGGAAAATCAGATTTTCCTACTGCATTAGTATGTCAGGATCTTACCTATTACTTCTCTCTAGAAAATAATTGCCTCTTGATTCTTTCTGGCCTTTTTTCTTTTCAGGCCAACAGAACTTTTCAGGAGTTGTAATGCTCAGTCAGATCAAGGAGCCATGAATGACATGAAGCTGTGGGAGAAAGGAAGCATAAAGATGCCATTTATCAACATACCTGTTCTTGACATTAAGAAGTGCCAGCCAGAAATGTGGAAAGCGGTAGCTTGTTCACTGCAGATTAAACCTTGTCATAGTAAATCCCGGGGAAGTATTATTTGCAAGTAAGTTTCTTTCCTCGTAATGACTCTCCAGTCTTGGTTCAGACCATGATCTGAACCACAGCCTATCTTTAGAGTTTTCTCTCCCACCACTTCTCTTTGCCCATCCTCCCCACATGTCAAATGCTTTCTCACTTTTTCCTCCTCTGCTTGAAATACTGTTCCATCTCCACTTGCCCACTGCCTCGCTTTCTTAGCCTCTCTCAAATGCCAGTCATTCCCATGGAATCTTCACAGATCTCCCCAGCTCATAGTAATTTACCCTTCCTACAAACTTCTGTAGACCTTTATTTGAATTTCTCTTATGGAATTTAGTTCCAGAAACATTTGTCAAGTACCTTCAATACTCAACTCTATTTTTATATTTTAATTTGTGTACTTACATTCTGTTAGACTTTGTTCTCCTTGAGGAGTTTATTCCTTGTAACTTCTTTTTTTTTGTCTCCTCTTTCCTCTTTTTCTTCTCTTCAGGGATTAGGGTAATCCTGACACATAGTAGGTGTTCCATGCATGTTTAATGAGTGAGGGAGTTAGTGAATATAGTCATTAGGGCCTATTTCTAGTGAGCATTTTGTGAATGGTTTGCTTAGGAGATCTAGGATAAAGTAAAGATGAAAGCTGCTGTCCTGGGTGAAACCAAAAGCATTAGCCATGTAGTAATCTATGCCAGCTGATCTTCAAGCATCTGTTTTTCCAAAAACTTTTCTAAAAACCAAGTCAATATCCAGCCCCTAAGTTGGTGTGTGTCTTGGTGCTGCTGGACACTTGATGACTGATGGCAGATTATTTCAACCTTAAACAGGGTCCAGATCTATTCTCTGGCATGACTTGGCCATGACTTGAGTAAGGGGAAAGATGAGGGGTAACTTGGGTGGCAAGAGGCAACCAGTGGGAAATTTATAGACTCATAGCACAAAAATTTATAGAAAAGGAATCAAATACCTTTTGAAGACTGAGAAAATTTTAAAGTAGTGTACTTTCCAATTGTTATGGGCCAAACACCTTACTGTTGATAACTAAAAAGATATTTAAAAAGAGAAGAGGACAGAGGGAGGAAGAAGCAAGTAAGCATAAGGTCCTGAAAGAAAAGATGTATGATTTTGCAAAGAGCAAATCAGACTAGCCTAGTTTAATTTCCTTTCAAAGACTGGGACAAGCCACACTGATGGTAATAACAGTATGAGTATAAAATTTGAGCAAGGCCTTTGATCTCCGATCAGAGAAAAGGATGCTTTGCTAGTATAATACATTACTTACTACTATGCAACCTGAGGTCTTCTATGACTCCTGTTTTCTTTTGCCATTACTCTGACCTAACCAGTTGTAAAATATTGTTATGAAAACTCACCTTCTGGAAGGCTTCAGAAACAGGATTGATATTGACTAGACAACATGAGGAGGTTCCTTAAACTCTAAATTTGTATTTTTCTTCTTAAGATCAGATTGTGTGGAGATTCTCAAGAAATGTGGGGACCAGAACAAATTCCCGGAAGACCACACAGCTGAAAGTATTTGTGAGCTTCTGTCACCTACAGATGACCTAGAGAATTGTATACCTTTGGATACATACCTAAGTAAGTACTTTGTTTTTTTAGATTTCAAATATTTCTCCCTTTCATCTCTGCCCTTCATGTTTGCTTTGGATGAACATCTATCTGTTGAGAATGTGTGGTTTAATTATACTATCTCAATTGCAGACTCTTATCTTATTCGCTTGGTCTTTTTGGCGCTGGAAAGAATTGTCATCTTAAAATATGTAAGCCCAAGTGACTATCTTATCAGTCTGAGGAAGTGATGAATTATTGTCAATCAGGAATTCTAAGCAGTGAATCTGGGGCAAACATCTTAGATAATAGCCCCATATCATTGCTATCCCCTTGCCATGATTTGACCAGGAAGTGGAATTTCCCCAGGGAATCTTCAGCTTTTTGTCATGAGAATATTAGTGTACCTGAGCCAGGCATTGGCTTAGACTGACCCACCAAATAGGGAGTAAGGAATGATGGTCTGGGTTAGTACATGAAAATGGAACTTTTGTCTCTGCCAAAGGATTCCTGCCAAGAGCTAGAAGAATAAGTTGCTATCTCATTGAGGGATCCTGGAGCTGAGTTTCTCAGCAGGAGGTGACTCCGTGTGGTGGAAACCAGAGAGATGACGAGTAGAACTCATACACACGGAGTACTGTAGTTAGGGTACACTTACACCTTTATTAGCCCTACAGTCTGAGTCTGGCCTAAACTCGAGTAAGCAAAGCTAATGTAGTCACAAGCCTAGACTCTATTTCACATGCTGCCGCCAGGGGGCGTTAGTGCACCGAGCTGGCTGGAAAGGCAGACTGTGAATTCAGCTCCTACTTGCTTTGTTTTCCTGTGTCAGATAGGACTAAGTTCTACTGCAAATAACAGAACAACAGGGAAAAGTAAAGGAAAGCCCAGAAATAAACAGTCCAGGGCTATTATAGTGGTTCCACCATCCAGAGTCCAGGCTCCTTTTTTTTCTGCACTGTCCTTAGTTCTTGGCTTCCATCATCAAGGTTACTTGAGGTACTTTATTATCACAGCATGCCTCCTGGAATTCTAGCCACCATATTCTAGTGTAAGGGAAAACCACCCGAGCTGTAAGGGAAACTGAGAAAGATGATCTTTTTAGCTGTGGGCCCATTGTCACGCTATTATTAGTAAGCAGGAAGAAAAGAGTGAATGCTAGATTTGCAGCTAGTGATATCAGCCACATTTTCTTAAGGCCAACAAACTGTGTCCCTCAGCCTTTATGACCAGTATAGTGAAAAAAAAAGCATTAGACTCAGGATAGGCCTCTGTGACTTTGGACAGATCACCTCTTTGCAGCCTCAGCTTCCCTGTTTATAAAAGGATTGGGCTAGATGAGATGAGCTCCAAGAACACTTACACCTTTATTAGCCCTACAGTCTGAGTCTGGCCTAAACTCAAGTAAGCAAACCTAATGTAGTCACAAGCCTAGACTCTATTAGAGCAGTGAAATATATGTGTAGAAGGAAAAAAAGTTAAAGAAATGTTTTTGTTTGAATTTTAATATGCTCTTTAAATATCACATATACTTTATATTAAGTGAGACTCTGCCATGGTCATTATTTCACAAGTTGACAAATATAATCATGGTACAGGACCCATCTTACCATAGTGAATTATTATAGTTTATGGTAAAATGTGCCAAGTTATTCCTCTTAGGCATAAGCACGTGTTTGACCACCCTACCATCCCTTTATACTACTTATTACTTATCATTAGGTGACTTTTTTATTTATACACACAGAGACACACATGCACACACATACCCCCCGTCTATTTATTTTTTTTATTTATTTATTTTTATTCTTATGTTAATCCCCATACATTACATCATTAGTTTTAGATGTAGTGTTCCATGATTCATTGTTTGTGCATAACACCCAGTGCTCCATGCAGAATGTGCCCTCCTCAATACCCACCACCAGGCTAACCCATCCTCCCACCCCCCTCCCCTCTAGAACCCTCAGTTTGTTTTTCAGAGTCCATTGTCTCTCATGGTTCATCTACCCCTCCGATTTCCCCCGCTTCATTCTTCCCCTCCTGCTACCTTCTTCTTCTTCTTCTTTTTTTTCCCCCGGTCTATTTATTGTCTATTTCCCAAATAAAATGTAACTTCTACATTAGGGATTTGTCAGTTTTATTCACTACTGTATCTCCAGTGCTCAGAACCTTGTCTAGCGTATCGTAGGTACCCAGTAATAAACAAGTGAATGAATGTATGTATGTGTATGCTAAATTCACAAATGATCAGAGCATCTGTGTGTTTTAATAGTTTACTAGAATCAGGCCTCACTTTCTGGACATGAGCTCTCCATTTATTCTAGCCATAATTAATTCAGATAATTTACAGATCTCGCTTACCTTTTGGGGTTGGTTAAACTGATCTGTGTTTGGTTTTTCAGGGCCAAGTACTTTGGGTAACATTGTAGAAGAGGTCACTCATCCCTGTAACCCAAATCCTTGCCCTGCTAATGAGCTCTGTGAGGTAAACCGGAAGGGGTGTCCGTCTGGAGATCCCTGCCTTCCATTCTCTTGTGTGCAAGGTAAGAGGTAGATGGGTGTGGGTGTGGGGTGAGGGGTTGGATTTCTGTATAGGGATTATCTTTGGAGTGAGCTCACAATGGACTTTATTTTCTAAGTTATGTTTTTCTGTAACATTTGAGGTTTTCCCAATAAACCTGTATTAGTTATATAGGCAGAAGAAAACAAAGACAAATGTAATTTTCAATTATCATTTAGATTGTAAACTGATTCTCATAAAGAGAATTACAGGATTACAGAATTACTCTCATAAAGAGTTACAGGGTTCTTAACAACAAAAGAAAAGAAAACCTTGAGCCTGTTTTTTGTACATTCTCTTCCATGTTGTGATGTTTAAGAAAGTGTACTGCACATTGTTCATGTTTTTTTCTTTTCTTTCCTTTAGTTATATGGAGAAAAGTCATAGTGGGATGTGCAATTATCTCCATGAGCTTAATGTTTTATTGGGATGCATATGATTTTAAGACCGATTTTTTTTTTTTAAAGATTTTATTTATTTATTTGACAGAGGGAGACACAGCGAGAGAGGGAACACAAGCAGGGGGAGTGGGAGAGGGAGCAGCAGACTTCCTGCCGAGCAGGGAGCCCGATGCGGGACTCGATCCCGGGACCCTGGGATCATGACCTGAGCCGAAGGCAGACGCTTAATGACTGAGCCACCCAGGCGCCCCTGATTTTTTTTTTTTTTAATGCAGGAGGCCTCTTGAATAAGAAATGTTCATCCCAGTGAATTTTGATAGTCTTTATCTCTTCTGTTGTACAGTGTGGCAATATTTTGCTTCTTTTTATCTACTTCCCAATTGAAAATGTTTCTTTGTCATGTTAAAATCACCATGTAAAAATATCTGTGAAGTAAAAAGGAAGAGAAGATTAAATAAGCATGATATCTCAAAGGATCATCTATAATATTTGTGTAATACCAGAATATATCAACTATAGAGTCAATGTAAATCTTAAAATTGGAAATGAATGGGTTTTCCTTAAGCGCAATCAAGTATTCAACTTTTCTTTGAATTTACAATATGCTTGTATTCCATCACTAAAAGTTTTCCTGATCAAGAGTATTCTAAAAAACATTGGGCGCCTGGGTGGCTCAGTCGTTACACGTCTGCCTTCGGCTCAGGTCATGATCCCAG